CCAGAGCTCAAAGTCAGTCGTTTGTTCAAAATTGATGACAAATAGAGGGATAGAGAGGGAGGGAGAGAGAGAGAGAGAGGGAGACGCGATCCGGCCAATGCCAGCGGAAACTACTGTAAGAAAACCAAAGCGAATTGGAAAACATTTTAAATTGTATCTGTCAGTACGTGTATCTGAAATGCAGCTGCCGCTGCTGCTGCTGCTGCTGCTGCTGCTGCTGCTGTGGGCAGACACGACTCTCTGTCCATGGGCTCATTAGCATGCGAGGAGTGTGGCTAACAACGCGAGCGAGCGAGGAGGAGCATTGGCCTCGGGGCCAGCGCCGCCGCCTGTAATCATCATCATCATCATCGCCATCATCATCATCAGCGTCGTTCATGTTCTCTGTTCTCTCTGCCACGCTCCCCCCCCCCTCCACACCCCTTTTTGTAACTCCACACGCGCTGTGGAAAGTGGAACAGCGTACTGTAGAGTGCGTGTTGGGAATTTTTACATTTGTAATGCGACTTTTACTGCGCACAGCTGAATCAGTTAGTCAGTTGCCGCCAGGTGGGTGGGGCGGCAAAGGTGTTGCATGTGGGTAAGCAGCAGCAGCTACCCAATGCCGACGTCTTCGTCGTCTGTGGCATTAATAAGGTCGCCTGACTCTTAACGGTTGGCTGCCACTGTTAACTGTCGCAAGTAAAGTTTATTTTATTTTTGGGTTTTTTTTTTTTCTTCTTTCGTTTTTGTCGAATTGCTGGCGCGTTTAAATACGCCCACACAATTGAAGACCGACCACCTCGAAATCCATGAAAATAATGATAATGATGATAACGCCTGATAATGATGATTACGTAATCGCATTGCAATTTTATCAAATTGACTCGCACATTGAATCTATTAGAAAATGTATTTAATTCATTAGCAAAATGTCATAATCAAATTTCCGGACAGTGTGCATCCAGAAGGGGTGGTCTTGGGGGGGGGTTACATAAACCAAGCAACCACTTGGCAATGATTTCATTGAAATTAATTAACCTCAAATGTTGACCTCCTCAAGAGAAACAGAGGCCAACAAAATGTTAAAAGAGCAAAAGCAACATAAATGCGACAATTGTCGGTAGTTGCATTGTTGTTGCTGTTGTTTATTGTTGTTGTACCCTGTACAATTGGCTCAAAGGGTATGCAGAGTTTTGAGTTATTTGCAGGGCTGCAAACACAAATTAAAAAGTCGCTGGTTCGATTCGGTTAATCCGACTTTACACATCCTTTCAATAAAAGAATTCCAGCGATTAGTAGCTTGATTACAGGATATCTACAAGCTGAATACTCCTTGACAGACTTGTTGCTTTTGCTATTGTCGTTCCCTCTGTAATCGGACAATTGAAAAGGTACATACATATATGTATGTACATACGTATGTATACACTCACCTTTGTGTTTGAGTTGTGGGTCATGCGAACCATTCAACTAATTGACAATAAACAAACACATACATCTGTGTATTCAGTATACATATACATATACATATGTCTGTTAAGAGCCTGTTATTCCAACTTAAGGGTACATACATATGTGGCAAGAGCTAAAGCGGCGCCCTAACAAAAATCAAAGTTCCTATAAATAATCGTTATCAAGCAATATATATTATTGAGTAACGTGAAGATAACACCTGAACCCGTTAACAGCAATTTAAAACAGCTAAAAAATGTTCAAAGTTGACCTTTTGGGGAACTTAAGAAACAGTCGAAAATTCCACTTTGGAATGTAAGCGCCAACAGTAAATTTTATGTTATTTTTGCATACAAAATCTCTTCTTTTTTGTATGACCACACACTATACAATAAACTGTACGAGTGTACGTGTGTACACATATGCATTAATGCTTGCATGTATGTGTGCAAGCATTCACTACTTTAACATTCGAGTCTGTTGCTTGACAATGGCTGCCCACTATATATACGTCTACCTGCGGCTAACATTTAGTCTCTCTCTCTCTGACAGCCTGTGTATGTGTGGGTGTGTTTGTCTATTTGCCCACAGTTCATTGATGACGCCAGCGTGCTGCTTGCTTGGGCTTCTGTTTGCTCTCGACAATCACTCAATTACGTGCCGAACGCTTTTGTATTGCCGCTTATTGCTCTCCCCTCTCTCTGCTTCCCCTGGGTATGAGAGTCATCTACATTAGGTGATCGAAATGTGAAAAGCATAAAGTGCAAAAAATGCTCTGGGTGTTGAATTGGCGCACACACATTTTGATCGGCTGGCTATAAAATAATCGAAGACTGAACGAATGAACAGTTTTACAGTGTGACTCAAAAAGCGAAAATGATGCCGAAGTGGGCAATAATTCACGAAAGCTTCAACCTGCGTGCCTCGAGAAGCGGGCGAATAAAAAAAACAAAAAGCGGGGCAACTTAACGGTTTCCCTTGCTGCTCCCTGCTCGCGCCATCAGCTACTTTGTCACTCTCTTTCTCTCTCTCTCTCGCTATCTACGCTCCACTCGCTTCGTTTTGTTTTTGTCGTTATTTGGCATATTTTACCATTTGGCATTTACCATTTACCTTTTGCCATTTCTATTTTGGTGGCAGCCATTTGCATGTCTCCACCTCGGCCCGCACCCCCGGCCGCTAGCCACTGCCGATGATGAAACTAGAGTTGAGCACATATCGTGCTCTCGCTGTGACACGACACGAAAATAAGTGAGGAGAGATGAGTATCGAAATAAGTAGGCACGTTGCTGTCGGACTTAGGCGACTGGACTCGCCATACTCTATTCTTAGCTTACAGACAGGCGTAACGGCCTTCAAACCAGTTGAAAACAGCGTATAGAGAGTACTAATATACTTAAATATTTAGGTATACACTGGTCGCTTAGAGATAAAAACCACTCAGCAATTAGCATAATCCCGGCATATAAGTTTTAGGAATTTGTTGTGCGTGTTACGATCCCGGGCCATCTCTAGATGAAGACAGGCGATGTCGCAAAAACTTCCTAAATTGGCTTAAGCTATGTGTCCAAAGAAAAGACACGACCACAACACGGTGATGATGAACGCGGGTCTGAAACAGAACGGGCAAAACGACAAAAACAGAAAAAAAAAACGGTTAATGTAATAATAATTATTTGGCGTCAAGACGCCCACAGCAGCGGTTAAAGCGGGTAAAGCGGGTAAAAGGCAGCGACTTTGCAGCCGTCACTTCTTTCACTTGTAATGTAAGCGAAACTGTAAAAAAAAAAGGCAAACAGATTTGCAACACTGGCAAGTACAAAAAATACAAAAAAAAAAAAAAAACAAAAATGTTTTCGTTGCTTTTCTATTGAGCGCGTTTTGTTTTACGCTCTCTGCAAATGTTGTTGTACTTTTTGTTGTTACGAGTCTGAAATTTGCGCAATTTGCGTTGCGCCAACAATTTGAATAACATATTCGAATAATTATGTATGTATATGCATATGTAATAGTCAATAAACAATTGTCATTGCAAATCGATTAGTTAGAAAAGACAAAAAAAGAAGCAATTGGAAATTATAAAATACTTTTACCGGGTATTACACGGTATTACAACTACATATTTGCCAGTGCAAACTTTCCACCCATTTGCCAAAACAAGCAAAACATGAATGTTCACATAGAGCTTTGAGAATAAAAGATGAAGCCTAAAGACAGCTTTCTTTAAAATAAAACTTAAAATAAGATACGATTCGCTGGCTCTTGCGTTTTGAGTTCTCCTTCAATTCGCTCAATTCTCTTAACCCTAATGTATGCCCGGTGAACTCATGGATGTCTGAATATTTATGTATAATTAGAGCTGAGAAATAGAGTCTCTTCAATTGCCTATGCATATATGTAACTGGACTGGAACCGTAAACCCCCCTCCCACCCCATTCATTCGCCTTGACTGTGAAACAATGCTGCGACTTTCTGCGCACCACAAATGCCAAAAGCGAATTTTTTCTGCGGTTTCCATATCAGCCGGATGCTCGAGCTATGCCTTTGGTTTTGGTTTTAGTTTTGGCTTTTGGATTTGGCTTTTGGATTCGTCGAGGTCACGACGGCGCCGCTCTCAAGTGAAACTCGGCGCGGCTTCAAATTTGCTTTGCTTTTGGGTCGCCATCAAAAAAGAGCGATACGCCCGATTGTAAGACGAAAACTGACTCACAATCCAATCCCATGCGAATTTCAGCCCGTTTAGATTGGATTTTTTGGCGACGCACTCAGAACATGGTCGTTGTCGTGGTTGTTGTTGACACAGCTGCCGGAAATGAAGACGGGCAAATCAAAATTCGCCCGGAGCCCGGTTGCTATTTTTGGCTACAGCTGAACACAAGGAATGAACTCGTCAAGTCAATAAATTGTAAAAATATATATCGTATTGTGCTTGCTTATTCCAAAATCCCAACAGCGATGTAATCGCAATGATTTTCCAAACAGAAGGCTTCAGGGGTTTGGCTGTCGTAAAGTTTTATATAGATTAAAGAGGATCATTGAAGATATTGGCGTTGTGTTCTAAATGCGATCTATCTTAAAATAACCGCTTAGTCACCTAACATACTTCTATTTAACTTCTTTCTTTCTTGAGTGTCGCCTGTGTTACAACTTAGTGTTGTATAACACACACAATATTTAAAAGTTTGCTGCAGTAATATATCTGCTTGTCACTGGCTTTCATTATACTGCGCCAATGATCCATCGGCCACTTTGAGCTGTTTTTTGAGAAGCTATTTTTAAAAAGATTCAACTCATAGCCTTTGAAGCGACAATTGGCAACACTGGCTTCCTCTTTCTCTTTCACTCTCATTCTGTCCAATATAATGCCTTTCTATGCGAATTTCAAAGTTTTTAATTGCTCTAAAATAGTAGGAAGGCTTGGTATTTTTGTATACATACAAGACCCGTAAGAGTTTCCTTATCCTTCCCATCCTTATCAATAGTAACTCACATAGATCACATCTGTACTTAGATGTGCCCTTTCCCAGTCTCTAATCTCTCGAATTCTCGCTCGCTCTCATTTACAGTTCAGCGTGCGCGAGGTCTTCTGACAAAAGGCAAGAATGGCACCAACAACTGTTTCGTCACAATTGCCCTGGGCAAGGAGAAGTACCAGACATCAGTCAAGGACAAGGCGGAGGCAACCGTCAACTGGAACGAGGAGTGCGAACTGTGAGTGCAAATACAAATACATATCCATATCCTAAACTAGACGGATATTAATTGGGTTTCTTTCGCTACTCTAGCAAAATTCCGGATCAGGGCAATCGGGCAGAGCTGACGCTGACTTGCTTGCACCGCAATAATCTGGGCATCGATGAATTTCTCGGCCAGGCGACGCTGCCACTCAAGGACATGGACGTCTATGACAGGCCGCGCGCCAAGTGGTTAAAGCTGGAGAGCAAGCCGGGCAAGGAGAAGAAGAACAAGGAGCGCGGCGAACTGGAGGTGCGCATCGCGTTCGTTGTCAAATCCGGATCGCTGACAGATCTTAGCAAGAAGGACAAGCACAAGTCTTCCATTGGGCAGCTGGCCAGTTCTGTGGGCGGCAGCCTGCTCTCCATTGGCCAGGGTGAGAAGCGCAAGAGCATCAAGAAGCTGGCTGGCTCGCTCAGCTCGAAGCTGCACATACGCAGCAAGAAGAAGCATGCCGATGGCGATGACAGCGGCTCGTTTAGCGGCTCCTTTGCCAGCATCGGCACCCCGAACAGCTCCTCGGGCCTGGGCGGCATTGGCGGCGGCAGCGGACGCAGGCGGGGCCAACGTGCCGGCGAAGCTGATCCCGGTGTAATAAGCGAGGACGAGGACGAGTTTGTGTTCGACAATCTGTCCCACAAGAGCTCTGGCAGCTCGCTGAACATCCAGCGCTCCGGCCTGCAGCCGCCTTCATCTGGTGGTGGCGCCAACAATTTCGCTCCGCGCAACCCGTCGCCGCTGCTGAGCAACGGAAACGGTGGTGGTGGTGGCCCGAAGGGAAAACTCAACGGAGGTAAGCCCATAATGCAAGAGACACTCGATGAGGATCCAATCGTTGCGGAGATGGAACAGCTTGAGCTCGATTTCAGCGTTCGTGCGCGCACTCTGCCACCTCCCTCAAAGCCGCCGCGCACCCCGCAGACACAGCAAGAGCTGGAGTCGGAACGCGAACGTGAACGTGAACGTGAACGTGAACGGGAACGGGAAGGTGATGGGCAAACACAAGTGGAGGCATCTCCAATCCAGGTGGATGAGTGGGAATCCAAGTTGTATGGTGGCGGCAAGTATTTAGAGATTGGCAGCAGCGATTCCTTGAAGCGTCGCAGCTGGGAGACGCGCGTACCGTTGCCGGCAACCAGCGAGGAGCCACCGCCGGTGCCATCGGCAAGCTCCTCCTCTAGTTCCTCAGACACTGAGGAGGAAGAAGAAGAGGAAGAGGAGCCAGTGCCGGAGCAGCCGCTGCCGCCAAAGACAGCACCGCCACCGCCATTGCCTTCCGATGATAGAAGCAGCAAGAGCGGCAACTCGCTCTTCTCGCCAGATGTCGAGCCGCGTAACTTTGATGCACTCAATGCGAGCTTCGCCAAGTTTGAGCAACGCAACAGCACCGCAATCTTTGCAGATGAAGAGCTGACTCCTGAGCCGGTCGCGCCCAGATCGCATCCGATGAGCGAGCCGCCACAGCCGTTACCAAGTGTAAGACCCACACCACAGCCGCGCGGCACAACAAGTGAGCAGCTGAAGGCCGAGACGGCGGCACTGGCTAAGGCAGAGGCTGCTGCCGAAGAGGAAGCTGCACGTCAGCGACGCGCAGAAGAAGATGCGCGCCTGGAGGCCGAGCTGCGTCTGAACGAGCAGCGGCTGCGCGAAGAGGAGGCGGCGCTGCAACAGGAGCTGGAATTACAGCAGGAGGAGCAGCGGCGGCGCGATGCCAAGCGCCGTGAGGAGGATCAAAGACTCTTGAGCTTTGCCAAGCGCTCCACCTCCCTGGAGGAGCCGCAATCAAAAGCTCAGACCATTGCCGAGGACCAAACCGTGGCCGTTGCCATGGCCATGGCCGTGGCTGTCGCCGATGTAGATCCAAGCATAGAGCATAACTTGTTAACGCCCGAGCAATCGCCCAAGGAGTTCAGCAGCATTGGCGGCGGCGTCGGCGGCGGCATCGGCAGCGGCAGCGGCAGCGGTGAGCGCTGGGAGAAGCGACTGGGCAAATTTAAATACGGCAATAAGCGAGGTGAGCTGTTGTACCCAAAAAGACACCACAATTTGAGACAGAACCAAAAAAGAGCGATTAGGAGCTGAGACAATATAGTTCAAAAAAAAAAAAAATAAAAAAAAATACAACAAAAAACAAAACCAGATTTAAACAGATATTGAAACCCAGCAAAAACCTATCCAGCTACCAAAACTAATCCGTCAACTACTCAAACTACCTCAAACTTGTACCTCGAACTTAATCCTGTCCGGCTGGCGGCGCAGGGGAGTGCGGCATGTGTGCGCGCAGTGTTGTAAAACTCTGGCGGATTCAACGACCAATCGAACCAAGCTAATCGAATCAAGCAATTTTCCAAATCAGCTGTCATCTTTGTGTCAACCTATTGTAACTTTTTAACACGATTTTTTTTTTTTTTTTTTTTTTTTTCCTACGCATTCGTCATCTATTTTCTCGCACTATCCGCTTTCTGAAGCTCAGTCATTCTCCTGTGCACTTTAGCTCCTAAAAAAAAAAAAAAAAAAAAAAAAAACCTTTGCTCTTATTTTTATATATTTATTTAGTTTTGTTTTGGTTTTTTGTTGTGTTTTGCATCCGCCAGTGTATTGGTGTCCGTTAGCTGTGCCGCGAACTGAATTTAGTTCCGATCGAATCGTTTAGGTCAAGGAACAACTATTTCGTAGCCAAGTAAATCCGTTTTGCATACGTTTCAAATGATGAACTGGCGCCATGCTCTTCTCAAAAGTGGCAAAAATCATGTCCGAAAAGGTAACCGAGACTCGTCTCAAACGAATGACTAGCAGTAAAGATTTAAATGCTGAACTGGTTCCTGGTGCTCACAAGCCATGCGAACTAGTTCCGTCTTCAGAAGCGGCAAGCGTCTGGTAAGCTTGCAAGAAGAACTACTAGTTCGTGGCGACACTCGGTTCGACCTATGTACATACACTCACACTCTTATTGTACGCTTCTGTTGCATTCGTTTTGTATTTGGCGCCATCTGAACGTTTATCTCTTTCGCACACAGACAAACAGAACGATACGGATAGCAACTCGCCCAGCCCCAAGTCCACGGAGCGCATTATTATTGGACACGAAAAGTCTGGTTCGCATGCGGAACGCCGCTCCGAGATCTCCGCACAATTGGCCAAAAAATACGAGGGAAAGTCACGGGAGGTATGTGAGCATATCCTGTGCATCTGTTTTAATGCGCTTGTTCTTCATTGTGTTTGCCTCTCTGTCTATTGCAGGAGCTGATGCTGATCGCCAATGGCATGGAGAATGAGGCATTGTTGCAACGCCAGCGCGTCAAAGAGCTGGAGGACTATCTGGATAATTTGCTGTTGCGCGTAATGGAAACGCATCCCAAAATCTTGCAGAATCCCTATTCGCGAACCACATCGGCCAAAAGGTGAACGCCAATAGACATACATACATATGCACATGCACATGCATATGCACATGCACATGTATAAATGTATGCGTGCATACGTGCATACATGCTTTGCGATTGCAACTCGTGCTTCAATCATACACTCCCGTTTGTTTGCTCTCCTATATCTGTGTATGTATGTGTCTATCTCTACCTCTTTTTTGTTTTTGTTTTTGTTTTGGTCATTGCTTTGCGTTGTTATTCGTAACCCCGCACGGCGCCCACCCCCTCATACCGCTGCATGTCCACAGCACACTTGCATTGTGTTTAACATAACGATTTGTGTTTTTATGTTTTTGTTTCTTACCTTTTTTTATACATTTTTTATACATTTATGTATTTCTCTTTATTTAGTTATAAAAATTACATCAATATGAATGACTTTTTAAAGTAAGTGCTGTGAATTTTCGGCATGCAGTTGCACGCACACTTAACAACAAGCAACAACAAAACTCATATGCACTCAAAAAACACAACAGCTAAAACCAAGATCAGCCAACAGCCCCTGAGACCCCCGTTCAACAGCAGCAGCAGCAGCAGTAGCAGTAACAGCGGCAGCAGCAGCAACAACTACAACATTAACAACAACAGCTAAATTAACAAACAACAACAACAACAACAGCAGCAGCAACCGAAGCAAAGAGTAAGAAATCTGCTTTTGCCTGTGTCTGTGTCTGTGTCGCTAAATGAGTTCCCATATATGTATGTATGTATGTATGTATGCATGTAGTACATTTGTATCTGTATCAACTGGTGCTCTTAAGATTTTCTGCCGATTACATCCAGCCGTCCGTCTCTATCTAACGCTGATCAACTGACTATCTTTTGTGCTCTCCCTCTCTCTCTCTCTCTCACACACACACGCACGCACTATTTATGTTCTCTCATTATGCTTAACGTGTTGTTGATAGTTTTCTGCGTGCTCCTTTCAAACACACACACACACACACACACACACTGTACTCTAACACATTTGATTTGTTGCTTACTTTACATTGACTTAACATAACTGAATCGGTTAAATATATACATTAACTTTCGACCTTCTTCTTGCAGCGGTTAAGTGTGACAGCAGCCAAACTATGTTCGCAGCAAGCAGCGCTTATTGTCGGAGAAGCACAGAAGGGAGAAGCTGAGCCGCGGCGAACGTTCAAAATGTAACATGTAACATAGAAACAAAAAGAACACCAAGTTGCCTTTGTCATTAGAGAAATTCAAGTGCTTTCTTATTGTATTTTTAGCATTACATTTACACACACTATAACAACTCTTAGAAATTAAGCTATTATAAATATATATATATATAGTTTTTTTTTTTTTTTTTTTGCTAAACGAATGACTACTAAACAAAAAGGCCCAACAAATTTGTGGTTAACTTTTTCTGTGTGTATTGTTTTACGTGTAACATGATATTCGGTTTTTCATTTGCCCTGTGTTAATATTTGAACGAAACTAAATTCAATTAAATTATATGTAAAATGTAAATTATTGTCAACAATTTGCTAAACTGTTTTGCTAGACAATTAGACAATTGTAAAGTTTTGTTTCGATTCAACTGATTAATTGAAATTATCCAAAAGTATTTTTTATTTGCATTTTAAAATGTGTCTTGTTTTATGCGAAGAGTCCTGCAATATCGGCTACGATTGCAACAATTTATAGTTAAGTAAATCTTAAATTATTTATGTATTAGACAATTAAGTGAAAATTGAGCAATAAGCGAGGAGAGAACTACATTCAGTTATACATATGTTGATAAATGATTTTACTTATTAAACAACAAATAAAAACAACTTAACATTGATATTCAAATTGTGGGCTAAAAGAAAATTGAAACTTGTCTCTGGCCTCAAGGGAGTCTCTGGATTTCAAAAAACGGAGAATTACGGTAGGTAGTATTATTAATAATAATGATAAAGCATGATTAATATTTTGCACCTTTATTTTCAATATCAATTTCTATCTTTTCCAAATCGGCAACATTGGCAAGGTCTCATTATCTTCCTATTCGTCGCCGTTCATCTTTGATTTTCGACCATCGAAGTTTACCAAGTTTTCCACCTCTTTTATTCTACTCTCCCTAGATATGCTACGAACCTCCTCAAACATGAATTCTGATTTCTGCGATTGATAACTTTGGTGGCATTAGACACTGTGTACATACGTAGTTATGCGTATTAAAACATTTCAACTATAATTTATAGTAATATGCTTTTTAAAATAATTCAAAATATCTGTTGGCGATCATAACAGAAACAAAAACTGTATTTAACAGCAGACTGTTGCATTTTACAGCACGTATCGATTAATTTTACAGCCGACTAAAGACATCTAACGGTCTTTGCAGCGCACAAAACATAAATAACATATCAATTGTGATTATGTTTTAATCGACTAGAAAATTTCAGCTTTTATGTCGAACTCTAACATTCACAATGAATATCATAATTTCCCTTAAGCAATTGTGCGTTAAGTAGTTCGTATGTAAGTTCAAATAGGGGAACGCTCTTCTTGACTTTTCTTTCGATTGACTCATCATATTCATTTCTGACATAAATTTGTTGTTGTGTTGTGCGGTTTTAATCGGTAAAGTTGCGGTAATACTGATGAAATTTGACCTAAGATAATATGTTATCATGTCTCCCCACAACAGCCGAACAGAGGCTTAACATAAGGTATGTTAACTTAGCAGCAGCCGTTATACAATTTATCGTTATACAGTTTATCGGCTTTCGATAAGAAATCGACAATCGACTCGCGATTCAAAATGTAAGGCGCACATTTGAACTCCAAGATAAAAACGAATACATTAAACTTTCGACTATGTTTAAGTTTTTAATTGTGTCTTTAATTTCTAATACAAAAAAAAAAAGAGGGAGTATATTAACTGAAATGCAGTTTAATATTACATGCATAAATCATTGCTCTTTATATACACTTTCAGGTCTAATGCACCCCATTCGAGGTCTGCTGTGGCTGTATCGCCGCCAAAGCTGCCGCCTGCTGCTGCTGCTGTTGTTGTTGTTGTTGTTGTTGCTGCTGCTGTTGTTGCTGCTGTTGCAATTTGCTGCTCTGTGAGAAATCTATGCAGGCACCCGAGGTGAGATCTATCTCCTCGGAATCGGAGCCATCAGAGCCCTCATCGGAGGCAGGGCCGAGGGCCGACATGCCGCCCAGATCCAGTTGGGAAACACCATGCGCAGTCGGCTCCTTGTACAGCTTCAGTTCCGTGTAGGTTTTCGATAGCTTATCGTGCTCGGTCTGTGAATGCGTTGGCTGCTGTTGCTGCTGTTGGAATGCCGGATGCATCATTGTAAAATTGCTGGCGCCTTGTCCACTGGCCAGTGGCACATCGTTGACGCCGACATCATTGATCATGGCATCCTTGCCGCCTGCTGTACCGCCCGCCGATAAGTTCTCTGGCATTTGATTGTTACCATTGGCCGCTGTTCCGTTGCTCGGCCTATTTGAGCCGCCGCCGGCTATGACTGGCGGCGTGCCCAGGCTGAGGCAGCGCATCCGCCAGGCGTCCTGCAGCAGCTGGAGGCGCGCCTGTTTACGCCACTTGGCGCGACGATTTTGAAACCAAACCTGCAACAAAAAGTATCGAAAGTTAACAGCTTGCCGCCAAACATATATGGCAAACAGCTACCAAAAATCAAAACGGGCTATCTCCATACAACATCTTTATCGGACACCGATCGCGTTTATGCTAAACCCCTTTTTTAAATTGGGCCTAAGTAGGCAGACCTGTGCGACTAAGAGAACTGAACGAAAATAATATGTGCTATACGGTTTTTCGAATACCTCAAATTGCACATATGTAAATCCCATCAATAATTAAAAGTCTAATGCAATTAATTTTATATAATTTTCTAGGAATTTCACGTTTGTAGAATATGAAAATCGATAGAGACTCGGAAGAGGGCACTCCTCGGGAGTTCTACTTGCACAGGGTTTTATTTTTTTTATCGAAATATGAGAATCAAGAAGGGAAAGAAGAAGATGTTGTTAGCCAGGTTGTGGAAAGAACTGTTGTAGATGGGCAACCTACGGCACCTGGACATACGTGCGCTGGCTTTGCCGCAATGATTCACCTGGACGCGCGCCTCGCTGAGGCTGATGCGCAGCGCGACCTCCTCGCGCAGAAAGACATCCGGATAGTGTGTCTTCTGGAAGAGCGCCTCCAGTTCCTGCAGCTGCTGTGGCGTGAACGTGGTGCGATTGCGGCGCTGCCGCCTCCGGCCGAACATGTACTCCGTGAGCAGATCGCCCGGCAGCGGCGATATGAATGGCCCAGCCATCAAATGTTATTATAATTATTACTTTAACAAAACGCAGCAAATTATTCTAATTTTAGAAATTTGATTTCTTTCACTGTTGCCTTTAAAAAATGTTTTAAAAAAAAAACAAAAAATAAATTTAGTGAACACAGCACACGTAAAACAAATAGTTTTTTTTTTTTTGAATAAGCGCACGTTAGTTGGCGCCAGAGCCATAAAAAATGTGACCTGCGGACTGCGCGTTTGGCCAGCGACTGCGGGAGTGCAGGCTGCGTCCTTTGGCTTTTATGCCGTCGCAGCAGCTAATGTATATGCACACACACATGCAAACATATTTCGGTTTGTGTGTGTGTGGGTGCTTCTGGGTTTGGGAGAGTTTTACTGTGGCTGCGCCTGCGACTCGTTGCGTTTGTACGAATATGCTCATAGTTGTGGACACAATATTTACAACAATGGCCATTGCAAAATGCAGCTAATTAATATACGCACATGCAAGCTAGAAATTGGCCATTTGGTTTTTCACTCGAAAGCCTTTGGGGCGAAAAAGGTGATGCTCGGCTTTGGGCGTTAGCTTAAAAATGTACACTAACATAATTATGTTAGGCGTGCATAACATAATTATCATTAATATTTCGGCATCTGCAGCTGGAATACTCGCTCTCGCGCTTGCTCTGCTTCTGAATTCGCCGCTCGCCGTCTCGCTCGCTCTGGCAACCACTTAGAACGACAGGTGGCAAGGAGCGCGCGCAGCCTCCGTTCGCTGCGCTCGCTCATTCGCTCGTTGTAAACATAAACAAATATAACACACAACAATATAATGCACACACACTCACACACACACATGCTGAGTGCTTTTATTGAGAACACTCTCTCACTCACCAACACAGTCGCATGCTGATGCCGCCTCTGTTGCTGTTGTTGCTGTTGTTGTTGCTGTTGTTTTGCTAGCTGCATCGGCTTTTATTGTTTTCTCGTTTTGACTTCGTTAAATTACGGCACAAGCACAAAAACCTCATAAGCGCCGTTGCCTTTACGGTTTGCATGCGGAAACGGAGGCGGGCTGTGGCAGCGCAGTTGGGTAGGCTACGAACCGCACCGTGGCACGAATTAAGCTGAAAAGTAGGCAATGATTTTTTAATGCCAATTTCAATAACATAACAAATTCATCACGAGCTTCTTGCTATATTCTTGCATAATTAAGTTAATAGAAAAGGAACCCACTTGTTATTAGCAAGCTCGTTAAGTTCTTAAAAACTAATTACTTGGGTTTATTTAATGTATATTTTAAATATATATGCAGTTACAAAAAAAGTATCCGCTGATTAAAAGCAGCAACAAATATTTGTAGAAATTATATGCTATGCAATTAAATTTAAGAGACTAAATAACATTTCAAAATATTAAAAATATATATAAATAAGTATTTATATTTTATTAAAAAATAATAATAATAGTTTTTCTTTTATTCTAATTCTTTTTATTGACACGCTTCAATTTTGCATTATTAAGTTTTCAAGTTAAGTTTTTAAACAGATTGTCATAATCTCGGCGCATTCATAAACAAAAGACACACATACTATTGAAGTCGTTTTAAAATAAACCTTATTAAAAAAATTTCAATTAATAATATAATAACTTTCCTAGTGCTAATATTTATGGTCAAAATTAATTATGGAATTGAATTAATTAAGCCTAATTTAGTTATTAAATAACTGTCTTTGCTGTTCAGTGAGGAATGCTTTAACAAATTTGCATTGTCTTAATCGCACTTGTCCCACTGTAGCTGATTGTTGTTGTTACACATGTGTGCACATACATATATAAATCTACATATATGTATCAGATGCACCTGTGAATAATAAAATTCAAATCACTTAATGCTGCCAGCATTTGCAGAAACGGCACCAACGTCGGCAGCTAAACAATACGGCAACACCCCGTTCACACAGACACACACACACGAGCAGCGAGTGGAGGATAGAGACAGAGTGAGAGAGAGCGAGAGAGAGAGAGAGATAGTAATTGAGCTAGAGAGAGCGAGCGGGCCAGATAGAATGTGAGGGAGAGCGAAAGAGTGAGTTGTTGTTGTTGTTTCGTAGCTGCTGATGCTGCTGCTGCGCTTGTGGGTAAGGAAAAGTCAGTAAGGCGCATAAAAATGAGGTTGCCACCACAGCTGATGCCACCTGGCAGTCGCACTGAATAGCGGATACAACAATAACAATATCAACAATGCAATACATGCAAGCGCTGATGTATGTGTGTGTGTGTGTGTGGATGGGTGTGTGTGTGTGTGGATGGGTGTGTGTGCGGCAACAAATGAAGGGATGTAATTTTCTCATTTGCATACATTGTTTTCCTGGCTGTATTGTTGTTGTTTCTGTCGGTTGTCGGTTTTGCTTGTGTGTATTTGCCTGCGCTTGCGCTAAAATTATATTTATTTATTAATACTGAGGCATAGGCGTGGCAGCAGCCGCCCTCCCATCCTTGCAGGCTTGCTTGCCTGTATTATGCTCGTGTTGTTGTTTTATTTCATTTGCTTCTTTTGCGCCGAAGCCAATCATAAACGAGCACTGCTCACTCTGCCTGTGTGTGTGTGTGTGTGTGTGTGCGTGTGTGTGTGTGTGTGTGTGTGTGTGTGTGTGTGAGGGTTGACCAACGAGATGAACGTCAGCGTTGACAGCGTCTTATTGAAATTATGAAAATGATTTCATGTTTGCCTTTTGTCTTTGGCAGCCTGGCAGCTGCCAGTCTCCACCCCGTTTAACCGCCCACCGCCCACCGCCCACCGTTCGCCGAGCGCCATTTTTAATTTTGTAATTTGATGCTGTTGCCTGTTACTGTTACTGTTACTGTAACTGTTACTGTTACTGTTGTTGTTGCTACTGAAATTGATTAGGGAACAGGTTTCACCTGAGCATCGAGCCAAGCTAGCATCTTTTTGTTTCTTTTTTATTTCGTTGCTGCTGCTTGCTAATCTGTGTTTATGCGTGTGTATGCTTGTATGTGTGTGTGTGTGTGTGTGTGTGTGTGTGTGTGTGTGTGTGTGTCCATTGTTTTGTCGCGCTGATTGGTCTTTCACTGGCTACAAGTGCCTGTGCGAGTGCGCCGCTTTGTTTTGCTATCTCGCTTCCACTTGCAGCTTTGCCTGTTAATTATTTTTTTTCTTCTGTTTTTTTTTGTTCTTGTAGCTGCATTTTGATTAAATATGCTTGCAGCACGTGAAATAGATATATGTGCATGCAAGCACACACACACACGCACTCACACACACACACACATATGTATGTACGTACGTGAAGTAGTTGCAAACAAAATGGCGTCCCCCCAGACTATTATTCATTGCATACTTTCGGAGCGTTTATTTTGTTTAATTAATATCGACTGCTTCCGGCAGACGATCTATTTGTTTATCAGTGTTAATATAATTTGATGTTTTTTGTTTATTGACGAATTGCCCAGGCCACACTTGAAATAGAAGAACGAGGATCCGGGCTCAGTTCCCAGGCTAAACCGAAACCGAAGGCTTTAAAAATAATTAGGTTAATTACTCGTACATAGCTACTTTTACCTATAATAATAATAATAATAATTATAGTAATGCAATTATAATGATGACCAGAAATGATCGCTCTATATCATAACAGAAATTCATCCCAATGCACTGACGGCACACGCTGAAGCCAGTGTCAGTTTAAATTGCCACGACTTCTGTCATTGCCTTCAGCCAGATGCGTCTCGTGTACTGTGATCTGCTTGCCACATCCTTTGGCGCAGCTCATGTCATCTGGCAACGGCAACAGGAGCTGCAACTGCAACGGCATGTGGCAAATTAGCGCTCAATGTTAACATTTGCCCACATTGTTACGTTGTGTTAATGCATTTGAATTTTTCTTACCCAACTGCCACATGAGCCCCGACGCAACAACTGCAACCGGGCGCTACAAATAGTAAGTCCCCTACGACTTTATGCATAAAATAACATTCACTGGGATAAGCCTTAAAAGTTTCAAACTAATGGCAGATAAAAAATAAGTATAATAAAGAGATAAGAGACAATAATAAAAAGATATTTTAGATAATTATTTTTACCCAAAAATCCACTCAAAAGCTAGGGCTAAAAATATGTGAGCTCAACTAAAATTGTCAACTAATATGCATTTAATTAAAAGAAAAACATATTGCACTTATATAACTGTTTTTGAATATATCAAAAAGAAATAAGGTCACATTTGGCTTAAGCAAAGCTTAAAACTCAGTTTAATTTGTTTTACTTTAGAAATGTTTGTTTTGATACTTTTCTGGAATTAAACGAAATGAGGTGCAACAACAAAACACGAGCTGAGCAGTTGATTGGCCCGAGGCAAATGCAGTGTTGTGTAGCGCAATGTGCCCATCTCTAGCTGTCGATCGGTTTGGCTGCGATTGTTCCAGTTCTTTGGTTCCGGCTCAGATGAACTTGTAGCGTGCTCATGGTTTCGTGTTTGCTGCAGAATTTGCAGCATTTGTTGTTGTTGCTTCCCTTTTTAATTACTTTTTGTATTTCTTGTTTTTTTTTCTTCTTTTTTTTCAACTCATTTTCTTTTGTGCCATGCAGTCAACCAGCAGCCTGGCAGGCGAGTCCTTGCTGCCAGGATTTATGCAACGGTTGTCGGCGTCGTCATCATCGCTTTTGTTGCTCTTGTTCTTGTTGCTGTTGTTGTTGTTGTTGTTTCTTTTGCTTGGCTGCATTTAGCATAAATTCAGTTTCATCTCATTTCAACTCATCTCGTTCTCGTTCTCGTTCCCATCCTGTTCGTCAACGTTCTCCTGACAGACAGCCGCCATAGGCTGGCTCACTCGGCTCCGCTCCCCGCCACCCGCCACCCGCCGCCCGTTACCCGTCGCCCGTCGCCCGCTGCCCGCTTGCTGAAAATGACATTGTGACGATGCAATTAGTATTATGAAAATATTTCTCATGTTGTGTTTTTTCACTTTTCTTTTTTTTTCTTTTGTTTTGTTTTTTTGTTTATTTCTATTTTTTTATAGCATGTTTTGTTGTTGCACCCATTTAGCGTTATCCCCGACAGAGCCCAAAAGCTCAGGCGCCAATGTTGTTGTTGTTGTTGCTGTTACTGCCAGCCACACCCGCGCCCTCCCCCCGCACAGATCCCC